AATGGCTTTGACAAAGAACCATTTATCAGTCAATTGTCAGGTGAGGTCAGATGGAAGAATTCAGTCACGGCGTTCTGAAAATGGTATAACATGGAAGAAAAATGATAAAACCGTTTATCCTAATGCGGGCAGGATTTTTCCATCGTACTTTTTTGCCCTGAACTGGTATTTTTGTAATCGCAGTAGCTGTAGCTACAGATGAAAGACCACGTTTGGTGCAAAAACCAAAAGACTTTAGAACATGTCATTCATACTAAAGGCATTATGTTGAAGGCTAAGGAAAATGAGAAAACATTGGCTCCCGAAGAAACAATCCAAAGCCACAAGTTAAAGGATATTTCATACATATTGACGTCTTTATATAGATGAACAATAAGTAAAATGAGAAGACCCTGGCTACCCTAGTAACAATCCCAAACCACCAGACAATAGACCATTTCATTCATACTGAAACCATTATAATACTGTGGTATCAGACATTATTGTGAATGCAATTGTATACTGTCTATTGTATCTCTGAACGATTACCATGAAGAACAAAGAAGATCATTAATAAACTGAGCTACATAGAGGATATTGTCCCACATCATTAATTGAACAAATCATTTTCCCAGGTAGACGTTCTCATGTAAAAACACAAAAATAGTTTTCAATGGATATCAATCAGTTGCTTCTCTTGAAGATTAAATCTAAGTCCTTTGAAGGGTAACATCTAAGGTTAAAATGAATTAGCAAGTTGTTTTAACTTGAGCGATGTCATTGGCACCCATTATCATCATGTCCAGGAACCAGTCAACAACAAATAGTAATATTATTACACAATATTCACCTTCAATTTTCATAAAGGCGTGTGACAAAATGTGATGTAAATTGGCAATGTGGGTAAATCTGATCCTAAATTATCATATCCTGGTTCAGTTCATAAACTTTACCTCATAAGTCAAGAGTTAAGCTAAAAGTTTATTAAAACCCTAATGAGATCTAGGCCATGAAGTCAAATTACCTCTACATAGAACATTAGTCATTTAAAAACTCCTGCACCAATTGTTCAATTGCTATCAACATTTCCATCTTATGAAAAAATATAACAAATATATGAGGAAGATTGATATGTAAGTAATTGAACGTTTGGCTTAGGAGAACAGTAGTTCTTTACGCCGATTGCAACAACGTTTGGTCCGGTCTCTTATCTGAAAAACATTCACAGTTTCATCTTATGAGAAAATATAACAAAAATATGAGGAAGATTGATATGTAAGTAATTGAACGTTGGGCTTAAGAGGACAGTAGTTCTTTACGCCGAAAAACATTATCTGAAAAACATTCACATGAAACTTTTTTCTCTTAAACCCACTAGTTGGTATCATTACAAAGCAAATGTCTGAAAAAATTGATATGTGCATTTTGTTATATTCAAGTATGAAGAGTACACTTTTTCTTCTCTTAAACCCAACTAGTTGGTAGCAACACAGCCAAGGCCTGAAAAAATTCTTATGCGCATTTTGTTACATATTCAAGGATGAAGAGTACATTTTTTTCTTCTCTTAAACCCCATTAGTAGATGGCAACACAAGACCAATGTCCTCGGCTATATTCCTCCTTGAACCCAGTACTCATACTTCATCCATGATAAAACGACTCCAATGGAATTACCAACAACTTATTTTGAATTTTACCCAATTATTGTTAAATATAACATACAATGAGGTAATTGATGAGATTAAAAGATGTGGTTATATCTGTTTTAAATTATCAATTGTCTGTTTGGTAAAACATTTGTAAAAATATAAAAAAGCGAGTGTGTAATTTCAAAAATTGTTGATACAAGTACAGTAGATGAAAACATAAACTCCCTATCATAAGTTTGGCAACCTTTTTCCCCATCGGCTATGTGTTGAAGCTAAGCCTTTCTATATTTGAGTCGTATGATATAATATTAATCCATCCGGGTTCTCTCAAAAATACAAGTTAAGTAGACCATCGCATTTGCTCACTTGATGTTACACAAATTCGGTGTTTTTCTCCAAGTTTGAAAAGTTATATGTCTCCAATGTCAAAATTTTATTTAAGAAAGCCCTCTCATTGAAATACCACAGGAAGTAAAAAATGGTTTCCAAAATTGATTTTGAAGCTCTGTATCGTTAATGCTCAAAGGGTAAACAGAACACTTAGTATGAAAACAAGTGAGACATTTTAATTGCATATGTAAAATAATTTTTTGGTAAATGTTTTCCAAAATAGATATCATGAAATCTGATTTGCACCAAACCCACCATTCCAATCGGTTTACATTGGAATGACGATTTTTAGTGATTTTTATCGAATTTGTCATCAATTTTCGACCTACTGTGATTGAGGAAAAAATGAAAAGATGCAGGTTTTGAAAAAAAAATAACGTGGTACATTTCGTGAGACATCACATGTCTTCAATCGATGTGCTGGATTTAAAAGAAAAAAATAAACAAGATTAAAAATTTCTTTTGATTTTAAATCAATCAACACGCTCATTTTGGGCAAAGCAAAGATGATAACATTGTTATTAATTGAAATGGTTAATTCTTGAATTCAATTTGACAATCAAATGTAAATACGAGGACAAATAAAAGTGCTTCTCGGGGTGACCTTTCCTTTTAAAGAACCTTATTTTAAAAATCTTCTATTTGTTAAGAGTCGAGATTGTCAACATCACAATGACATTTACGTAACAGGAACAAATGGATATTGCTATTGGCTTGACGTCTACAGGATACATCTCTCACGCTTCAGGGATACGCTGTCTGTATCGGTAAATCTTTTTAACTGATCGGTGTTATAATTTTAAGTTAATTAGTAATATGACCACCTGCTTCGATAGACGTATGTAAAATATCATAGTTTATATATTGTATCTTATCGTCATCTAAAATTTGCTTTTTGTTTATTTGTCTGGACATTGTGTCTGAATATTGTCGTGCCCATATTTGGTCATGGTATACCACGCCCTGGATGGATTCTTGCAAATGAGACAATAGAGAAGATTGCAATTTGTTAAATCAGCGTACAAGTCAGGATTAACTCAACGTCAATAATAGAATAAAGAAAATGGTTAAGTCGAAAAGACAAATTTGGTTCCCACTAAGGGCACTTAGTTTCACTTATGTCCAACAAAGTGACATTGCGTTGCCATCTTTATTGGCAATCTTAACACAAAGTACGCTTGAAAGGTTTGGCATAAATAATTAAAAAAACATATATTTTAATCTTTGTATTAAAGGAGTCTGGCGTGTGACCTAAAACGTGTTAAATAAAAGTATGCGTTTAAATTATATAATAGCAACCTGCTACAACAGCTCAGCTTTAGTTGATTACGGACCTGGTCTATATTTCAATGTCAGTCAAAATGCAATTAATTAATTTAGGGGGAGAGGGGGTCAAAATACATTTACTTATGTGACGGACATTGGTTTTTAGTTTCCAATGGTGTTATCATAAAAAAATAGTTAAAGGCAGAATCCGATCTATAGGGGTGACAAAATTATAAGCAACATGTACAATTGACCTACCAATCTATTCATTACAGTCTCAAATACAATATCTCCAAAAAGATTAATGATATGTTATAAATTGGTGAAGTTATTACGGATTCAATGTGCAAAAATGGGTGAAGTTTAAATTCTCCCAAATAATAAGAATGGTAACCATTCTTATAGAAAAATAATACATTGTTGTAAAAATCTTTACTTTTCCTGAGATAAATTTTGCACTTTGGGGATTTTTAGAAAATAGATATGACAAGGAATGACATGAGCCAGAAATATTGTAAAATTGAAACGATTTTTTGTTGACCTGATCGCTAGATCTGATTCTCTCTTTAATTAGGTAATTAGGTATTTAAGAGGATTCGATATGGGTTGCTTATACCGCTGTAAAAGGGTAGGGGTCCTTTCAAATTATGGTCCTACTCTTCATTGATTTATATGGTGACCTCTTTCCCTTAATGTCTTATACACAATCAGGGCCAGCAAGGGCCGTTAAGAAAGGGGACCATAATCCCCGGGGGACCATAATTTCTTTCACACTGGCCCCTTTAGCCTTTTTTGTAACCCAAGTGGTAGAGTATTAGACTTTGCATCCTGGTTTCGATCCTAGGTTCGATACCCACATAGAGCGTTGAATTTAGCGCACTTTATTTTGTGTCCTTACTCACTGGTTAAAGTATGCTCGTTAGTTACCAATTCCCTGAGATTACGCTATTTTTCAAAACCGCTTCAAAGTCCAAGCTTTATTTCAGGAAATCAAAATATTTTTACAGTTCGAAAATTATCGCCATTTTCGCAATTGTTATGTTAAATTACTTAATCAATTTAAAGTATATCATAAAATCATGTGGATATATTTTATTCGTAAGGAATGCATTGTTAGGCCAACTGTACGTGCTTCTCGCAATTTTGTCACTCACATCACTCCATCTGATTGTGCCTTGGTAAAGTTCTCAAGAAAATGCGGATATGTACCGGTGACATTAAATAAGAATAGCCGAATTGACCTTTTCAACCGATCATTCCAGCGGTCTTCCGTCAATGTGTTATTAACGATCAGAATACGAATATGTTGATCTTCGAATCGATGGCATAAGTGGACAGGTGCCTGTGAAACTATTAATAGGATCAGCCAGTAATATTCTCATTCCTTTCATCAATAATGCAATTGCTTCACATTAATTTTAATAAGTTAGTATACTACTAGCATCATTTCGTCTCAGAGAAGAAAACTTCATGTCTGATTTCTTACTTTAATACACCTTCATGAAAAGTCTTGTCTCTCAATTTTGATATAAAAGTAATTCCCGTTTGAGCTATCTCAGTGATCGAGCTTGCGCCTCGGTTTAACCAATAGGAGCGCTGGGAGATATAAAACATTTAGCTTAATTATTGGAAGTAATTTTACCAAAGGAGTCGCTCAAGGTATCGGGATCATATAAAAGGAAAGACTGTGTGTGGAAAGATGCAGTGGCACAACAGCAGATCTTTAACATGACGGATACGAGTATTTCTTTATATGGAACAGGAGGGATGGATAATACAAATCATGTTGTCATTCCGACGGTGGAATACAATTTCACAACAGTTGCAAAAAACGGCGGGACCACGCACACAGTAAACAGTGCTGTCCGTAGGAGCGAAGAGGATAAAATAATGTCATCATCTTGGGAGTTAGGAATACGGACAATTCTTTGTACCGTGTCGCTGATTGCTAATGTGGTGTCAATTATCGCCATTGCATACATACCTCGACCATGGATGTACAAACATTATTTATACCTCATGATTAATCTATCAGTAGCAGACATATTGGGAACGTTATCTTCTTTATTGTCGGCTTTGAACTATTACATTATACAGGTAGATCCGTATACTTGGATACACATGAACTTGAAATATCTGATGGTATTTGCTCACTGTACATTCGTATTTTCATATTCCGTATCAGCGCTGGTTGTGCTGTCTCTGGCGCTATGTCGTTATATTTCAGTATGTCATCCATTTAACAGTCCAACATTCTTGGCTCAGTCCCGTATCATAATAGCTTTTGTATGCTTATGGATAGCCGGCGCCGTCATAACAATTCCCCTACTGATTGCAGAACTCCGAAATGACTATGACATTATCATCACATTTTCTAATTATGTCGTACCATCAGTTTTAACACTAGTTGCTGTTATGACATTCATATTGTGTATTAGGGTATTCATTGAGGCCAAGAAACTGAACAAGAGATTAGGCGACATCTATGGTGTTGATTACAGTCAAGAACTTACAAGTTTAGCGGACAATAACGCCGTCGTTACAACCGTTTTACTAACAACTACACTACTTATGTCAGCCTTGCCCTACTGGATCACAATGATTTTGTTCTACAAAGGAATTGGACATCCTACCCTTGGTATTGCCGGTGATTATTTTATCAAACATCTACCTGTTATCAACTTCATCAGCGATCCAATTATATACTCCTTCAGAACGCGAGATATTAAAATCGGATACAAAAATGCTTACTACAAACTTTTACCGTACTTTAGAAACGACGATGATGTCGCACGGAAGGCGTCCGTGGTGTCACGTGATACTCAACAAATGCAGTTGGTTATGAATGATGACGTAGATGATACGTCACGACCGATGACCCGATCTACGACCTTGACAAGTCAACAAGCGTACGAACAGATACAGAATCAAATGATATGCTCTCGAACACTCCATGAGCAAGTCCCATTCCGACTACAACAAACTTTAAACACAAATGAAGTAGGTCGTGTGGTATCTGGAGTGTAATTCGTCATCAGCAGTCCTTAGCAAACCCCATGTTGGTAGCTTTTGGTAATATTGGACTTGGTGCACTTTGAGCAACGATCGTATGGCGATTTGCAATCGAAATGGCAGACAGATCTACCACTACATTAATTTCCTTCTGAAGTATTTTTCAAGATCAATCTAGAATGAAAAATGTTTTCGACTTAATCTCAACGGATACGTTGTCTGTTGATTTCTCATTAATGGCAACTATTTTTACTGATTCTTACGATATAGACAGCCTTCGGGAGATGTTGATCGTGATCAGAGACAACGTCTGCTTGTTGATATACTGGCAAACAAGGCATCATTACTCAGTCTAGGATTAAACTTAATACTAAATAGCTAAAGCTATATAAATTATTCAAGTTTCTCCACAGACACTGACATGTTGCCTTAACCCAATTTGAATAATACAAAGAGCGACAGTAATGGCACACAACATTGTATCAAGAATTTTTAATATAAATCTCAATCGTTCGTTTGTGCACTAAAGCACAAATTAGGCAAAATTGGTGGTCGATTTTTAAGCTGATATGCAATTAATGATTTCCACATTTGGTGAAACAGTTTTTATCAAACGAAATGGCATTCAAAAGCAGCAGGCCATTTTGCGCGGCTTAGTCTTATTCAATCCTGGTGCTACGAGGGTTGTCCCGAAATTCTTTACATATACATTTTGCTCTAACGTTATCAATACTTGATGTTTTCAATGAAATGTTCAGTAAATGATCTTTGGAGACATTTTCCTTATCCTTCAGATGTTAATATCAACGTCTCGTGGCGGAAGCTCATGATAAAGCATTTGTGCCATCTTGAAAAAACATTTGCAGACGTAATTCCTACATCTAAAGAAAATGATATTTTATTATCCGAAATAATATAAAATAAAATGTAAATACATTTTTTTCAACCTGTAAGTACGTTTTATCATAAATAATGTAAACGAAGTGTATTTAAACTTTGGATGTATGCGTTTGTATTTGAGATGTGTCTGTAAGACTTGAGTAAAAATGCAAAGTACTGTTTTAATAAACTTTGTTGTTTGTCATGGAATATATTCATTTATTCCATAATAACATGTTTTCCCTGGGAAAATAACAGGGAATAAAAGTGTTATTTGAAAAATCCCGTATCAGATCCCGTATCAGCCAAAATCCCGTATCAGATCCCGTATTGGATCCCGTATCAGCAAAAATCCCGTATCAGATCCCGTATCAGAAATATTCCCGGTAATTTCTCTTGAGTTTTATTGTTATAAATTATTTATATTTTTAAGTAAAACTTGATAATAAAAGTTGAAAATGTTATATGATAAATTGTATAATTTTATGTCACAAACATTGGATGATGACATACAAAAATTGAAAAAAAAATATTATGAAATAAATAGGTTATTGATGGTCGTGATGGAATATGGATTTATTCCTTGAGAAAATATGATATTGGCCTCAGAAAAAATCATATTGACACTCGGGCTATCGCCCTCGGTCAATATGATATTTTCCTTGGCCAATATCATATTTTCCCTCGGAATAAAATCCATATTCCATCCCTCCCATTAAATAACCTCTATATCCGAGATATTGTAATAGACTCGTTAATAAAAAATAGTGTCATCAATGGAAGACATTTATGATTTCCACACTTGGTAAAACAGTTTTTATCAAACGAAATGGAATTCAAAAGCAGGCAGGCCATTTCGCGCGGTTAATTTTTAATCAACTACTGAGGGTTTACAAGTTTTGTATTCTTGCCTTTTTCTTAAAATTCTTTAAATTTTAGGTCCTTTCGGGTAACTTAAAAACATTATGTTTGCGTGCTTTTTGTTAGCCAGAGTGTCCATATTTGGCAAAGCCAGTGTTAAACTTCAACATATGGTCCAACGTAGAAATTGGATTATCTAAAACACAGACCGTTTCTTTAACTCACGAACACCTACGTAGTTACGGTATATATTGTACTTTACATTTTGAAAATGAAAATTAGGACTATTTCAGCTTCCTTAAACAGATGGACCTTTATTAATATTCTGACAGAGTGTTTACACTAAATCTCATCGGCTAAGCCTCATTAACGTGTAAGTGTGAGTACGTAAGTCGAGTACGTAATAGTTATGGTACAACTATACCGATTTTTTATGTGCAGTATGGCAAATGATTTTAGACGGTCGTGTCTTTCACAATGAGTACTTTTTGGGCATAAATACAGTGTTTTTATTACAACAATATATGTTTTCTTTCAGGTGAAATCCCCATGATAAAATATCAATCGAACAATGCGAAAAATTATGAATAGGGACCTCATGGCATCATTTTTTCAAAATATTGAACCTATTTACTTAAAACAGGATCTTCTTTTTCTGATTTTCATTGGATGAAAAGATTATTCAACGAGGGGCCTAAAACTACTTCAAAAATAGAATGGTATTGAAAGTCTAGTTTTGAAAGATATTAATTTTCAATGACCAAAATTATGCTGAAAACAATGGATAGCATGAGTTTTCTCTATAAGAAAATAACATGGGATTTGAGGTTTTTAACGTTATCGCATTTCAAAACTTGCCATACATTACTGCACATGGACCCTTGTTCTGTCTTACGTAATAGTTATGGTACAGTTATACAGATTTTTTATAAATGTGTTCTGTCATACGTAATAGTTATGGTACAGCTATACAGTTTTTTATAAGTGTGTTCTTTCATACGCAATAGTTAAAGTACAGTTATACAGATTTTTATAAAATGTGTTCTGTCATGGTACAGCTATACAACTTTTTTTAAGTGTGTTCTGTCATACGTAATAATTAAGGTACACTTAAACAGATTTTTATAAATATGTTCTGTCATACTTTAAGTGTTTCGCAACGATATAATAGAACGTCAAACACATATGTTCAGGTCAGTGTCTGCTATAGAGGCTATTAGTATGAGTTCAAATGAGTTCAAACGAAACAATTTCGGAATGTAATTGCGTATTGTTTGTCAACATGTGTTGCTAACATCATTGTTAAGGTTATTTCCCTCTTAATAACATAATTACTAAACGGAAAACGGCCATCCCTGTTTTCGTATTTTCCAAAATGAACGATATTTGCATAAAATGCCACTTCCCCTCCGACAATCGCACAACTGGACCGTAAATCGTGCTAAAATACCTTGTTTAGCAAGAAAGATGTGATTACTGCTTGAAATGATGCGATGAGATTGTAAGTGCCTGATTAGAATATTCATCCGATTTGATGAACCAATTTGGTAGTATCGATTCACAAGGGTCAAATGGGCAGTCTAACTAAGCGTGTATTGTACTTTTACCTTGCACAAAAATAAATCCTTTTGCTTATAAAAGGTACAAGGATATAATTTATCGATTAGTATATTTATTCAAATTGAAAAGAGTACTATCATTTCTAAATTTAAAAAATATAAACTTACTTTAACCAAATGTATTAACCCATTGCTGATCGATACTTCAAAATACCCGTAAAAATTGAAGTGATTTTGTTACTGAAAGGCCCACTTTGGGAATTTTCAACATTTTTGGGAAAATAAAGACTTACATATAAATTCCAGAGTATGTCCAATGTATTGATAAGAACATTATCTGGACAACATCAAAGCTTACAATAAATCATCAACAAATATTTTCGATCTGTCAAGCTTTATATAATTAACAAGTTTTTATCAATGTCATTGAAACATGGCAAAGTTGTTTGTATTATATGATACATTCATTTTTAAAGAAATGTCGCCATCTTTTTAACCAATAGTAATTTAAAACGTGCACTTTGTTTAGCACGTGCATGCATGTCTAATGATCTCTGAACTCCAAATCATCTTTTCTATGTGAGTTATTTTTTTATTGGTTCAATACTACTGTGTGTCATATTTGAGCAAGTGTGTGAGTAACATGTTTCAATGATTTTTTCTAAATTGAGTAGAGTGTGCCTTTAAGAGCTGAAAATATCAATTTGAGGATTCATGAATAAAAATATTAAAAAAGTGTTTCACTATTAAATCTCCCATGTCATCAGTTGTTATTTAATAAGTTATGCCACCAAGGGATTAAATTTAATTACCCTTGATATTTATCGCTATACTGCAACTAGACTAAGAAAATGCAATCTAGCGGATGGTCAAGTTTAATTAGACCATAGAGACAATCGACTAATAAGTGTATGAAAAAAAAAATGATATGCGAGGTTCACTTTTTCAAAAGATGAGAATAAAAACTAAGAAAGTTGAGATAAAATGTTTCCTTATCTACAACATCTGCAAGTAATTACAATCCCCTCTATAAATTTCGCAACCCTAATTCCCTCATTGAACTACGTGTTAAAGCCTCTTTATGTTTGAAATTCTTATCTACAAGAAGAAAATACTTAATATAATATTGATGGGAATGTAACTTGACTTCATTTCAAATGCCTCCAAATTTTCCCAAATTTTTTTTTCAATTACAATAGGTCGGAAATTGATGATAACGATGATTTTTTGAAAATCGGCATTCCCATGTAAATAAATGGGAAATGGTGGGTTCGGGGCAAATCTAATTTCAGGATATCTATCCAGTGAAGGATTCACCCAAAAATGTTTTTGTATAGAAAATTGAATTGTCGGACCTTTTTTGTACGCTAAGTGTTCAGTTTACTTTATGAATACTAAAGTTATAGAGCTTCAGTTTTGAAAATCATTGCTCGCCTCCTGTATTATTTCAATGAGAGGAGTTTTTTTGGAAAATGATTTTGACTTTGAAGACCTATAACTTTTTCAAACCTGAAGAAACGTATCAAATTTTTATTATATAGTTTAATTTAATTGACTAACTAACTTTTATTTTTTGCAAGAAATCGCATGGAAGAATATTCTGTCGCATGCCTTGCGGCAAATCTACCATTTCACATTGGTTTACATGGGTTTGTCGATTTTCAAAATTTCATCAGATTTAATATCAGTTTTCGACCTAATGGAAGAAAAAATGGGAAAAATTTGGAAGCATTGAAAATGAAGTCAAGTTACTTTCCCATCAATTTAGTATTTTCTTTACGGGTTAAGTAAAAAAATCCAAACATAAAGAGGCTTGAACACGTAGTTCAATGAGGGAGCTAAGGTTGCAAAACGTATGGAGGGGAGTGTAACTCAAAAATATGACACCAGAATATGATCTTATATGAATCTTATTTCGTGATAAGTTTATACCATAACTGGTCACTTCACAGTGTATATGTTTGTTGTAGCTCAAATCATATTCGATAACACTCGAAAAAAGTAAGGTGACAATGACAATGTGTTGTCAATAAAACCGGTGGCAGAGAATAATCATATTTTAGTTTACTTCCGATTAAAATGTATTTTAAAAATTAGTAAAAAAATGTAGAATTTAATGGACCAAAGTTTACATACTGGCTCCACAATACAGACGAATCTGCAGTAAGTCTTTAGATTAATACTCGAGCTGTTTATATGTCTTCTAAACGTAATTAATAATTTATAAATCCGCCTCTCGTGGATTTCCCAAGCTATCTATAATACCTAATCAAGCATTGCAATAACAAGTGTCATTTCCGATTAACTTTCTATCACCCGAATATCATGTTAGTAGGATAATACGGCCTCTTTGGAAAACTCGCCTCTAATTTCTTTGGGCATCTCATATTAGCCCAATCTACACATATCTTGCTTGATGTGATTTTGTTCCACATGGCAGTATTAATTTCATTACTTTTTTGCTATACCGAGCGTTTCATAATTAGTGTCTTTAAAAAGGCTTACGGACAACTCATCCCCTGGCCAACTAATCTGCTGGACAACTCAT